TTAATGATTGTTTTAATGATTCAGATGAACTATCTACTTGTTGATGTTTTGATGGAATTATTATATTATCTTTAGAACCTTGAATAATCTCAATTTGTTTTTGAAGAATAGAACAAGCCATTGATAAATCAGTATCTGATTTAAAATCATCATTTTTAATTTTTAATTGATCTTCAATACAACGGTGAATTATTTTTAATGGATATTGTAAACGAAGACGTTCAACTATAGGTAAATCAAGTCTTGCTAGAACTAAACGAGTAAGTTCATCTTTATCAATTTTCTTTTCTTTTAAGTTTAGTTTGTTTTTCGCTGTTTGAATTTTTTCATATAATTGATTTCCACATAAATGTTTAGCATATGTACAATGAGGAAACCAACGAGCATGTTCAATCATAGGATTATCCTTTGGGCCCCATTTGTGTAATGAACCATTACAATAAAAACATGTCACTGAATTTTTAACACCAGCAACAAAGAATCCAGCACGAACTAAACTTTCAATACTTGGCGAATTTTCTGTCCAATTAGCATTAGAAAATGTTTGTTCTCGACGAGCTATTTCAGCCATTCCTGGATGAGATGGTTGAAATTTTTCTTCAAGTCTATCATTAATTATTTTTGGTGAATTATTTACTGAAGGCATTGAAAGAACAAATGGACATTGTGGAGCAAGTCTTGTGTGAACTTCAGCTGGATCATCATTATTTGTCCATTCATGACATATTGTATTACAATATATACAAATAACTCGATCATTAACATTACATGAAAACCAACCAGCAGATATCATTGATTGACTATTTGGTATAAAATGTGGCCAATGAGAAAGACTACGAATTCGAATTTCTCGTATTGTTTCTGATTCATTTAAAGAATATTTCTTTTTTTTAATAATAAATTCTTGTTTTGGAATATCTGTTTTTGAAGTGAGAATTGTTTTCTGTTTTGCTGTCTTACTTACAGAGGAGCAACCATTATGCACACAAGATTGTTTACTGAAGTCTCCAGTTTGAATAATATCAGCCGTAGTCATATTGATACGATTTAATTAGGTCATAACAAAATAATAATAAACTTCATTTTTATATTATTATCATGATTGGTTTTTTTCTCAATGGAACGCTGTTTAATAGAGGGAGAAAAGCATTTTTTTCTGTCCCATGCATCATTGTTATCTCGAAAAACGTGAAAGAAAAGAAAAAAGAAAATTACCTATTGAGTTTTTTATTTACTTTCTGACAACATTATTGTGTGAAGGGTAATGACATTTTTTTTCAGTTTTACATATATGAAAAGTGTTAGCTTATATTTTTGTCCATATGTCAGAAATTTTCGTCCTATTTCACAGTAGTTTAGAATTTATTCCAAACAATTTTGGAATTTTCTTGAATATTAACAAACTAAATTAAGTTACCAGTATTGCTCTTTATTCACTTTAGAATATTAAATCATCATCTATCTATTTCATTTTAAGTTTTTCTTTTGAAGTTTAAATAAAATTCGATAATAAACAAAATTCTTACTTTTTTAAAACATTGTTTGACACATTTGCGGAAATGAAACTATCGAATATCTCTCCAGAAATAGTATGTACTATTTAGACATGGAAAAATTATCTTTGATATAATATTTCAGGATTTAATTTACTTCAAGTTGATAATATGAATGAACTTGGTTTTCATCAGATGATTTTAACCTAAATATATGTCTACTACATTGTTTTTATTTGTATATCTATTCTGTGCAGGCTTTGATAAAAAAAAGGTTGATTCTCAATGCAATGAAACACGAAACAAGAAGAATAACACATGGTGAAGCGTCTATAATTTTTCTATTGATATTATTTTGCTTTGCATACATGTCTACTGATAACCAACTGCTTATTGTCAATGCATCAATGAAAAAAAAAACGAGTAAGAAGAATAAAATTACTCGATTATTTTGCATTTTGTTGCATAAAAAAACTGAGTTTGTTCCAGACTATTTAGTTTCATTAACTAATCATTTGATTATGAATTTTTCTTTTACTATTCGACATTAAACTAAACTAGTTTGTATTTTCCCCTTAAATAAACAACTTATTTCTATAAATGATGAAAATTAATACACACAAAAAAAACGAATTACATTTCATTGGTAATAGGTTTGATTGTATCAATACATGATTCTTTCCATCTGAAAGAAGAAAATATACTAATTAGTAACCTACATGGTAAGATTTCCAAGATTTTCCATCTGTAGTCGAAAAAAGACATTAGAAGGGTTTCTATTTTCCCCTCCTCGTATGATGTCAAAAATCTATATAACCATAGGCAAAACAAGTAATCAAGTATTCTCTAGCTGTTGATGTATGTGAGTTGCGACACTTTGGCCTNTGCAGCGAAGAACAATATTCATTACACTTTATAATAGAAAAAAGTCGAACCACTTGCACTCTTTTTATCTAAGAAAAGAATGATACGACATAGTTATTGATGACGTTATCATGACTATTGCCGCCTCTGCTCTTCCTAGTGATAACATAATATGTGAGTGGCTGCTGAGAATTTGAACTTTGGATGTATGCACTGAGAAAGTCATCGCTCCAACCACTGAGTAGAACCTATCGGGCTCTAGCTCACAGTAATCTAAATGATACAAATATAAGAAAGAAGATTAAATTCAAACATGCATACAATATGTCACTTATCAATTGCCTAGCCGACTGAACTATATGATTTTATGCATGTCAGTAAATATTCTACGATGCTATTTAATACAATTTTACTCAGAGTTTTCCAAATATCATCATCAATAAAAATCTATACCTTAGAATACGGACTTAATTACATAAAATTGAATAGAACTAATTTAAAGCTTTTTTCTAAAGTTTTTTCTCATTTCTCATGTGTGAGAAAATTATTTTATATTGAAAAAACTCAAACACAAAACTTAACTAGAAATAACTTAAAATTAAAAAACAATTTTTTTTTCTCGTTTTTCTGTTCTACTGACAAGTTTGGATGGAATGAACGGACAAAACGAACTGCACATGATGCATACAAGTACGATTGGGGCTAGTTCAAACGTAGTTGAAGAACACTTCTCAAAAAGGCGTCCAATTCTAACAGCTATGCAAGGCGTTTCAGGTCAATCTGATGGCCAGTGTGGACACTCTAGACTAGTCTTGTTGGGTATATTCACATATCTTGATTATTTATATCAAATATTCAAAATCGAATGAATAACGAATTATTTTTCTTTTCTCTACAAACCAATATGAAAATAAACAGCATATAATGGAAAGTAATTTGAAATAAGTTATTGAATAGAACAGTTTTTTACTCTATGATGTTGATCATGACGTGAAAGCACAATATTATTATTGGTGTTGATCCACAAAACCAACTTTCTTTCTTTATGAGCCATGTTAAATATTCTCAATTCAAATGGATTCATTTGCAGTCGACTATGCTGCTTGATCCAACCATAAGTTGGGACATATTGATCTTGAGCCAAACGCAATGTGAGCTGCTCAAGGTGAACAAGTTCATTTAATAAATAACAGAGCTCTCGTCGTGAATGATAATCGGTTGTCAAATGGGTTAATCCTGGAAAAAGTCGACATATATGATAGAAAAGTTGTTTTCTTGTTTCTGGTTCATAATCGAAGAGAACAAGATGTCGAATCGAAAGATTTGGTGATAAAACTAGATTAAATAGATCAAGACTATGAAAGTATTGAATGCCAACTGAAGAAAGATTAGTCATATTTTCAATCAATTTAATAAAAGCTTCAGTAGTACGAGCAATTGAAGAAAATTCAAAATGTTTAATTATGCTGAGATCAACATTATTTCGAATTGCATCGCAAAAATATGTTGTTAAGTATCCATTCAAAGAAAGGGGTGTGNATAGAGGAGAAAATCGCATTTTGTCAAAAACTTTCGATATACTTTAAAAGTCACTCTTATTTGATCTTTTTCTGAAAAGAAGCTGCAATAAAAAGTAGTGTACTGTGTAGAGCACAATTTACTCTTCAGAATGGTGTCAAAAAGAAAATTTTACCTTAAAATTGGCGCGCACTGAATTATGAACAACAAGTGGTTGATCAATTTTGGAACAATGAAAAAAGGCATTGCGTAATTATGTTGCTAATAAATGCTGAATACATCAATAGATTGGCTTCAAATTTTGTACATGTAGACTGCAGACCATGAACTATTATGTGACAAAAACCAGACAGTTCTAGCTTATTTAGCTTCTGAGGTATGAACAAAACAAAAAAGTTCATTATGGCGGTTGATCAATTTTGGTACCCACTATATGTCGAGTCGAATCGAGTCGCATGTCTTTTGACCCGTTTCAGTCTCTGTTAGTGAATTGCGAGAGGTTATATCGAAGCGAAATTTCTTTTCAACAATCAATATGTGTTATTAGGAGACCGGTATCGGTTTCATCTATGCCCACATCCCACACCCACACATCATATCTTCAGTTCACCGAATTCTTTTCATATTTAAAGCCAAAGGCTGTTTATTAGCAAATAGTATTGCTGTTGGTCTTAGATTTACAAAATTAGGACACAGAGCAAATGCCAAAACCAGTTATTTTCAATTGTGGAGTTTTTTTGTGTATTTCTGCTGCCACTTCTTCTGGTATATTGTTGAACTGCAGCTTTATTGTCTTCAAAGTTTGATTCGTTTTTAAAGCGTCCATCAATGCTGATGCGCCTGTTTCGCTGATTTTATTAAATTTGGCACATAGTTCGGTCAATGTGTTATTTTGTTTCAATGCATCCGCAATGCGTGTGATTCCATTATCGTCAATATTATTATCACCGATATCAAGCCATGTCAACGTTCGATTTCTTCGTAACATTTGTACAACTGATGTCAACCCCTTGGTAGACATATTTGTTTGATAAATATCGAGACGAGACAATGTTTCATTCACCAGTAAAGCTTCGCAAATGGAGCTGATTCCTTCATCGCCAAGCTTGTTTCGACAAATATTCAAATCTTCTAATGTTCTATTTGATTTTAACATTTCCGAAATAGCTTTGCATCCTTCACTTGTAATTTTATTGCGTCGTAGATTTAAGCAACGTAAACTGTGATTAGTGAATAATGCATTGCTGATCAAAATACAACTGTCATCTTGAATATCGTTGGACATAGTGAGATGAGTCAGCGTGTTATTTACTCTGAGAGTTTCAGCGAGAATTTGAGCAATAGAATGACAGTGAGATTTTATAGTTAATTGTTTCACAGATTTGTTTTGTCCTAAGGCAATAATGATTTTCTGTATATCCGCGCGACATAACTTGTTGGTGTCTAATTCTAACGTCCTACTTGAAAGTAAATTAGATATTGATACAGATTTTGTTTCCGAATCACTTTTCAATGTTACAGTATCAGTAGATTGTACTGATGGTGTCGCATAACCGGGAATTCTCGAAGTTTGTTGTTCATTACCTAGAATTATTCATCGAATATATGAACTATATGTTGATTATTGGTACTTCTCTTTTTCTCGACAAGGAGTTATCCGTCGCCAAAAATGATCATTGTTCAGACCGTTTTCAAAAGCAAGTATTCCACAACAAGAGGGTGTGGGTGTGAATCAGAATACACTCTAACACCCCATACCCACACCCACCCTTTACAGACTAATAAAAGTTTTCGACTGATTCTAGCATTGCTACGATTATAGAAAGTAGCCTAGTGTCTTCAGAATCAAGAAAAAATATCATAATCGAGTTTCATAATATCACATGAAGTTTTAACATCTCTACGAGTTAAGAAAATTCGGATTTTTTTCTCGGCAATGAAACTTTCTCAGAACACTCTGAGTTAAACGACCTATAGAGTGTATGTTTTTTACCCTGTTTTATAAGAAAATAGAGTTTTTACGAAACAGAATAAAATGAAGTGTGACACTCTATATATGGATTAACTGATCTGAACACCTATACTATTCATCAGATTTCCAAGTTGTTTAAGAAGTTTATATTAAATTTTGACGAAATCTCTACTTACGTCGTTCTCTGTTTTGGTCGTTTGTACCGATAAGACTTGGTACAAGATCAACCATGTCACGCAAGTTTCTATTGATTGGTAATGAATCAATATTGCTTGCACGGATTCTGGTGCCATCGCGCAATGGACAGTTGAATTGCCCGCCACTACTAGCAGCTATCTGACGAATACATTGAAGACAATATGTATGTGAGCATGGTAATATGCGTGGATCAACGAAATAGCCTAAGCAGATGGAACAAGTGATTAAATCTTCAGCCTGTTTTTTTTGTTGTTCAAGTGATGATTTTGATGCCATATATTCAAGTACTCTTCAAATAAATAGATAATGAAATGATAAAAACTAGTTTTAATCTAAAATTAATAGGAGTATAAGAGATATTTGTCTTCAGTTCATCATTATTCATGAAATAGAATCTTGCGTAGATCTTAACAGGGTGATACCTATTTAAGACCTCATATTCACGGTGAAATATCAATGGAAATAGGTGTCTGCTGTAATCAACAACAGTCGACAAAATTTGGGCATGACTTCATGTTTTATCTAAAAATCCTACATCGTAGACAAATAATTTATTGAAACAGGGATAACCTGTTTTTAAAAGCATTTCTTATCTGAATCAATTATTCACAACGCCCAAACACTAATATTAATAGCGATATTTTTATAAATAACGGCAATCTCCAAGTATATACCTCTTAGTCATCTTTTGATTTTTTCCCACTTACGAAAGTATACCCTTTGTCTTCACAAAGACATTTGTTGATAGAAAGTGCAAATATTTTATTTTTAAACTTGCTTCACTAAGATGACAGTGTATTTCTTACTTTACAAAACTTCGAGTATAATACACCACGCAAAAGAATTTATTGTATGAATCTAAGTATTTATTATCTTTATAATTGGACAGGAATTTATGAAAATGGTGTATATAATAAACTCTTTTATAGGACTTCTAGCCTTACGTTTCTTTTTCTGTAGCAATAAAATAATATGAATACAAAAAAAACACTCTTGTTAACGCAGAGTACGTGGTAATGCGAACAGAAAGAGAAAGAAAAGAAATACGCGATAAATTAAAAAAAAGGTAAATGGCTGCTTACTAATTCTGTATAGACGTTTGATAAATATTTACTTGCTTTGAAGTAGCTGATATGGTTCTAATCATAAAAAGGCAATGTGTTTCGGTTCGAATTGATGCCAACATTCAAATATTGACGTAGGTAACCCAAAAGACAAAACTAAAAATAAGACTCGTCCAGCTAACAAAAGAAAACTGTCTCATTGAGCGCGTTCAACTACAAATAATCATGCTATTTCTTTGCGATCATACTGCAAACGTTCTAAACAAATATTTTTCTCAAACTTTCTCGTTTGCGGAGAATTAGGATATAATCAGGGCTGTATCAACGAAGTTTTTACTGTATCACACGATTTCGATACTTAATCGACAAAATTAAACGGAATTTGAAGATCTATCTTCAATGTAATTTAGAAAAAATAAAGCTGACTGATTGCTTTCATCAAAGACGTATATTACCACGTCATCATATCATGACTAAGCGAGTCAATGCACTGTAATGATTCATCTGCTTGCAAAGAAACTCATCTGTTCTTTTCTGAAACTTAAAAAGTAAGTATGAGCTCAATGAACTTTCACAATTTCATAAGGTATCTCGAAATCTGTTGAATATCTTAAAGTTTCATTGAGAGTGTAGGTGTGAGTTAAAAGAAGGACCACACCAACCCACACCCATATACGATCCTTCTGATTACTTATCATGTTATGATAATATTCATAACTCATACTTGTATTTAATTTTTAATTTTGTACTCGTTGACCGTAAATTTTGTCCTTAAAAGCACTCTTGGTAAATTGTAATAAGCGAACTACATAGGATTCTATTTTTTCATGAAATTTATCTTTTTGATCAATGATAAATGGATTAAATTCTTTTATTTTGTCGAACTAACATTTTGACGTATTTCTTTTAACAAATTTCCATTAGTTTTTTTGTATTCAAAATAATATTCAATTAAAATATTAGTGAAATTATTTATATCATTCGATTTTAAATGAATTTCAGTCTTTGGGGCTTGCAAATATCCAACAATGGCTGAGTTACTCTCAAATTTCTTTAGAATTTTACTATCTCTTATCTCGATTGTTTCTATTTGATAAAATTTTTCTTTGTTTAACCAATATTGAAGTTGTTTCTTGCATTCGCTACTAGTATAACTATAGTTTTCTATTATTCTTAGTTCAAATGATGGTGTATCTAATTTTTCATCAATTAAAAGACCAATTTTTCTTCTTTTACATATTAATTTAAAAATAGATAGACTTTACAATATGTTTTTCACGATGATAGATTAAATACCATTTAAATAGATTATCATTTTCGATAATAAAATCTTCTATTTCTGTTTCAGTTTCGTTCAAACTCATAAGACATTTTCTAGCTTCTCGTTTAAAATTTGCATCATTTTTTTGTCTTTCTAATTGTTGTTTAAGTTGTTCTAGTGCAAGTGATTGTGATAGGATATTTCTGTTGATTTTCTGATATTTAGCTTCGAATTCAGTCTTCATATATATTATTTTTTCTCGTTTATTTCGAGAAATATATTTTTTTGAATTTTCATTATCAATCCATTTCTCTACATCTAAGAACAAATTGTTTTTAATTTCATTCAAACTATAGTTTCTGAATAATTAAATTCTTTTTCATAGTTGCATTTTGACTCTTCCAAAAGGTCAATGCCTTTTTTTTGGTTCTTCGATCGAAAAGAAAAAGTATTTTTCGTTAATTTTTACTATACGGCCCGGTTGTCCATAACGGTCTTCCAAATCCTTTTGAAAATGCTTTTCTGACTAGAGAATCCTCAGGAAGAGTTTTATGATCGAGAGGAAAGTCTATGTTCTGCGGATAGTGAGATTTAAAATGAAAAAGTTCTAGCAGATTTTCATAATGCTGTTTTATATCAATACTTTTTGTATTCTATTCTAAATACATTAAATAATCTGTATTTGTTTCTGAATATGAATACTTCTTATTAATCTGGTTTTCAATATCTCTAAGAGATAAACTCATTTTGATTTGAGATAAACCTGTTGTATTGCCAACAGTGTAGCCTATTCTACGTGAATTAACAATTGTCTGACATTGATTGAAAATATCAATAAAAAATTCACAAAGTTCTTTGTTTCTACTCTTAGCAATAAACTTGAGGGTGTGGGAGTGTGTGTGCGTGTACGTGTGTTGATGGGGTGCGGATGTGTGAGTTATGAGAATAACCACATCCGCACCCTTGAAGATTAATTCCAACTAAAAAAATCAGATTAAAAATATTAGATGAAGTTTTTGAAAAAAAGAATATAAATATAATTACATAAAACCGATTATTTGATTGAGTGGTTTTATCTCAGTATAAAATCTCATCTATTCATTAATAATTCCATATTTGATGACTTTGTAAATATATTCTATATACAAACAAGTTTTAAACAAGACATTGTTACGTCTGATTTCGAAACAATCGTTCTACAAAGAGAATTTCGTTTCTGAAACGAGGTGATTGAATAAATGTCCGAAACTAGAGCGAGTAAAGATTACAGTTGTTCATCTCTCATTCTAACACAAAAATTATTCTTTTATTGAATATCTTTATTGTGATATTCACTTGATCCGATTAAGTTCATTCAACTACACCAACTAAATTGATTTTAAGAGAACGTACGTATATGTTACTACTTTCATTGAAAGAAACCGAACTAATTACGAAAATAGTTTCATCTTCTTGGTTGATAATGTCCTCATTTTGATTTGTTTTTTGCCTTAATCTAACTCTCGTTACGATAAACATCATTCAACATAAAGCGACTACGACTCGTGACAAACAACAAAGTATGATAGTGTCCAAAAAGCTTGGTCACTTTCAGCACTAACCATAGCTCTTATACATGACATTTTTTGAGGATAACGTGATTTTGGAAGTAAGATAAGCATGTTGAGTCCATAATAGATTTTCTATCAGTTTCACTTTGGAAACTCGAATAGGGACATCGACTGAAAAGTCCAAATAAATGAATACTCGAATGTGTTTTAATGCAATAAACATTGACAAATATCACCTGATAGCATATACGAATGACAAGCAGTTTTCAATTACTCTCAGCTTTAGAAGACCGATAACGATAGGGCATCTTTGGTCGAGCGAAATCGTCAATGTCATGTTTGATAGGAACTAGCCAAAATAAAACTATAGACAACCATATTACTATTTACTTGTTCTTCTTTTGAGGAAACATTAACAATTCTCAGATGCTGTTCGATCTCTCACTAAAGTTAAGACTAAGTTTTATATGACCGTAGAAAATTCTAAAAAAAAGATTCATGCTTAAAGTCAATGAGTGATAATTGATGATCATTCAAGGCACGCTTTTCCAAAAAAATATTGCTCTGAAAGTTACAACGCACAATAATGTATCTTTATCGATATATCAATTTTTCAAACGGTGTCATCCGTCACAAGAGGGATACAGTAATAAAGTATATTTAAAAATTCGATATTTTCCCGAAGACATATTCGTTTTTGTGGAAATTTTCATGACAAATTTAATGAGCAATAAATCTCTCTGTAGGAAAACTTGTAGAGCAACTTTCGTTTCTTTTAATGCCTTTCTATGAGTAGAAGATACATAAAAAAATCACCTATATTTGTCTCTATGATATCTGAACTTAGTCAAAAGAGTTCACTATTATGCGTTTCAATATCATTTAAACTACACTGAATACCAACACCCAGTGATTTCAATTGATGTATATTGGGACAGTTAAATTGATCT